AATAAATTTCTAAATAACGCCACCCTGTAAATAGCAAAAACAAATTTGAACAAATGTACCAGTCACGTAATTTGGCTTGATTCAATGCGAAAATCTGAGAGAAAACTTACATGTTGTGCCTGTAGCTGAGTGCGCAAAGATGCTTGCTACAATAAGTAGCGTCCAGGTTCAAATCTCATTAAGCTGAACATATAATTTAAAATTTTGGCGTTGGGTAACCACTTACACGCAAAGCTCATTTAACAGATTCCTTATGTGAGAACTCGTATGCAATGACAATTATGCATAACTGAGCCCTACACGTTACTACTATAAGTACTAAGGCAAAGTTACGCAGCGGGAGTCAATTGTTACCTTCTAGAGCAACTCGTTAAATGCCAGTAGAAAGCATGGGTGGTACATTTTCGAGGTACCGGTATTCGACTCCCGAAAACTGGTGAATTCACTAGTTTTGTACTAGTACTTTCCGCTGCAGGGTTATTTTGTTTTAATATTAACGATTGATGATTTATTTCGTTTCAACGTTAACGATTGAGTTTTATTTCGTTAATTTAGCTCTGAAACGTAACGAAATTATTTTGATAAGTTATTTTTGCGCATCAACAAAACGAAATCGATTCATATAGTTTGTTGAGCATCTCTGGTATGTCTTTATGCTGTCGCATACATATATGTATATATATTTACCACGCTTGAAAAGCTGCACCTCCAAAATGTTCGTCTATTTCATCTTTTGTGAGACCCATTTTAACATAGATTTCGTACCATATTTGCTCCTGAATGGGTGCTATAGTCAAAGTCACACCCATCATTGCCATCCAGTCTATGTGTCGCCGCCAATTAGAAAAAGTCCACCACGCAAAACTGTAGCTCCAGGTGCAAACGTTTTGGTAATAAATAAAATCACTTGCAGATTTGGAGAAGATTGTTACATTGGGCAGCTGCAGAGGTAGCGACAACTCAACATGGGTGTGGGTCCAATCTACATATTTTTGTAAATAATACTTGAGGTAATGATGAAAACCTTTCGCCACTGAAACACCGTCCGACCCAACTATCCTAATTATGGAAGGCGAAGGTTTTGTAATCTAAAAATCCATTAAAGAGGAAATAAACTATGGACTTTGTAAAATAAGAGAAAATTACGAAATAAACTCACCTCAAAACTTCGAGAGGCCATTGTTTTATCGATATTAACTGTGAAACTTTTCGAAATATCCTCACCAATTGTACGTATTATTAGATCCCGCACAGCTATTTCTTGTATATGTGAAACTGCTTGAATATCGGGCATATCAATTGCAGCCGAGAAGGGGTATTCTGTATACAAAACCAAGTAATTAAAAAAAAAATTTAAAGACAGCTTTTATTAGTGGTTAATAAAAAAAGGAAAAATATTAAACTAGATTTGAAATTTGAACTAATATAAAATTTGCTACATTTATTAAATTTCTTTTCAATTAGTTTCTTTCTATGTATATTTGGCGATACGATGCTTATTCGATCGAAATATGTTTTTTCATACCAAATCAGTAGTGTTAATTTTACTCACGAACTATGTGTCCTCAATAGTGACTTGTCCCACCGGTCACAAAATACTGCTCCACCCGTCAATAGCTAAACGTTTTTTTTTTTCAATTATAATAATGCCATCAAAGCATAAAATGTACCTTACCGCGGAACTCCACAGGCAAACAGCGATGGCCTACCATCTGTCATTTTGACAGATTATTGCCAGCAATATGATTGCAAGATTTTGTGTGTGGGCACTTTGATATCTTAACATATCATTTTTAAAATGGCGCCAACAAAGCATGTTCGATGTATTGAAGCTCTTAAGCATTTGGAAATGCTAAAACAACTTTATAAAGAGGAGGAAAAAAGAAAAAAGCCGCGGTTTTGGGTGAACCCATTTTTAAGGCAGAGGGAACTTCACGACTTGGAAGCAAACCTTTTAAAAAACATTTTATGGGAAGATGGTACCGACTTCAACAACTTTTGCAGGATGTCCATTGACCAATTCAATGAGGTTCATTCACTGGTAAATACACATATATGTACATGAAATATTTTTTATTTGAAGGGCTTGTAACATGGAAAGACTACGATAACCGGGCGACGAATTCTGATCATGTATTTCGATGTATTTCCACGTGAGGAAACCGGGAAAAATTACTTTAAAAAATCCATCTCTAAAAATGCTGTAGATAGCGTAGCCGATGTTGGCCGGCCAGTGTTAGTTTTTTGAAGCCCGACCAAATCCGGGGAAGCTTTTCTTTTACGACCGACCGTTGTATACGTGGTGGGCAGAGGCCCGTAGGGAGCCCTTACAAGAAGGGCGGATGACCCTCTTTTGTCAAGTGTGATCCTTTGCCAACGTGTACATGTTATAAATAATAATTTCGCCCAACCCATTACGACGTAATGAACGAAACAAAAGCGGCCATGTAGCTTTGCAACCCGAAATTGATAGTATTTCAAAATTTTTTCATAAAATTAGTAAATATTATATAATTAAAGTACTTTTAAACAAAAGTGCGATCTTTTAGCAACGTGTGCATGTGATAAACAATGTCGGCCTACCCATTCGGGCGTATTAAGTAAAACAAAATCGGCCGTAAAAGAAAGCCAACCACAAAAGCAGCTTGCGCAAAAGTAGTCCAATTGTTTAAATATGTAAATAGTCAAGGTGGAATTTGTTCATAATTTCTCCTGGATTCCTCATCCGAACATCCATATGCATACATGAATAAAACTTGGCCACCCGGTTATCGTACACGTGCCTGTAACATACATACATATGTATTTATATATTTACATGCATATATAGGTGGATACTAAAATTAAAAAAAGTGATACAAGGATGAGATGTGCCATTACAACAAGAGTTCGCCTAGCTATAACTTTGCGCTACTTAGCGACTGGCGATTCGTTTCGTTCTTTGGAATTTCTATCACACATATCACGAAAAACAATAAGCAAATTTTTGCCAGAAGTTTTGGAAGCATTGACTGAAGCACTTCAGGAGGAATATTTAAAGGTGCTTATTGTAATTTTTCCATTCTACATATCGCTAGCTTAGAGTCAAAAGTTGCTAAGTCCAGTTTTTCTTAAAACATACATACATATACATATTTTGATACAAGAAGCAGTTTCTATTCGGTTATACGCAAATTTGCTAAGTCCATAATAGTCAATGAAAATTGTATAAGCAAAAAGAATACAAAAACGTCTCATCAACAAATTAAAATCTTGTATTGAAGTTTTTGCAAATTAAGTGCTTGAAGAAAATGTGTTTGAAACGTGTTTATTCTCTCCTGTAAAATTTGAAAAACTGCACTTAGAAACTTATCAATTTAAGCCAGCGACATGTGTAATAGTTTTTAACATAAATATGTACATCTATTGTATGTGTATGTTTTATTCTATAGACACCTACAACAGAAAAAGAGTGGTTGGATGTTGCAAATAATTTTGAATCTCTTTGGCAGTTCCCGCACACTTTAGGAGCAATTGACGGAAAGCACATTCGGTTAAAAGCGCCTCCAAATTCAGGTTCCGACTATTTCAACTATAAAGGCTATTTTAGCGTGGTTTTGCTTGCTGTTGTCGATGCTCACAGTCGTTTTATTTATGTGGATATTGGGGCAAACGGCAGGGCATCTGATGTTATGGTGTATAAAAAACTGTTCTTTATATAATGCGTTGTTAAATAACCAGTTAAATTTACCTACTGATAATCCTTTATGTGGCCAAGTTTGCAAAACACCCTATTATTTTATCGGCGATGACATTTTTGGGTTAAGTCGGCACTTGATGAAAGCCTATAACCCAAGTTCAAACCTTACCACGTCGCAGGAGGCGTATAATTATAGACTAAGCAGAGCACGAATGACTGTGGAAATGGCTTTTGGCAGGCTGGCTGCGCGTTTTCGTATCTTTCACAGGCCAATAGACGTTTCTTTAGAAACATGTGATGCTCTTATAAAAGTTTGCTGCGTTTTACACAATTACCTGACACGAAAACTGAGTCAGCCTCCGAGCCCTCAGGATGATTGCTCTGCTCAAAGCCTTCCACAGACAATTTCCAGTTTACCAGTACAAGAACATGACACATACAAATACTCCTGCAAAATTCGAGATAACATATGCAAATATTGTGTAACCAACGGGGATGTTTCATATCAGTGGATAAAAATAAAAAAACAAGTCGCAAAGTAAAAAGTAAAAATTGCTTGTTTCTGCAACTCCATTATTTATTTATTTATTTATTTATTTAGTCTACAGAAAAATGTTTTCTTACAGACAGTTGAGATAAAAAGATTTAGAATATTTAAGTATGTGTGATACATTACAGAGTGAAATAATTATAAATATTAACTTGTAAAGATAACAATGATATTCAATAGCAATTTGGGTAGCTGGCGAGGCCTTGTCTCCAGTCTACTTTTGTGTGCGGCGGGCGGAAAGACCTAGTTTCCGCTCCGCCCTGTTTACAGGCCGTTGATCATGGTCGGAAAGGCCGAGCTTCCGATCCATGTTCCCGTAGTCGTTACTTTGTAAGTGAGGCAGGCGGAAAGTCCTAGTTTCCGCTCCACGCTATAGACGAACTGTTGGGCGAGGTCGGAAAGGCCGAGTTTCCGATCCCTGCTCCTATTGTCCTACGCGGTCGCGGAAATATACGAAGCCGTTACAATTGTACTAAGCAGTCATAGATATTGTGTAATTATTTCGTTCACGGTTGCAGATATTAGTTTATTTAGTTAACTTGTTGAGCAATGTTTTCTTTATTACAAAAAGCGATTCAGATATGTCGATGCAATCATAATGCTTGTTAAAATCTTGGCATAAACACCGAAAAGCATCATGCATTTCAAAGTTTGATTTACAAATACTCAACACAATAGGTTTAAAATGTCTCGTGGGTCTTGTAGGAATACAAAAATTTATCTCACTCAGTAAAAAGGGACTACTGACCATCCCGTTCATTAATTTAATTAAAAAAAAGAACACCAAGCATCTCTCTACGACTCTGAAGCGTTGGCAAATCTATAAGCTTCAGGCGATCCTTGTAGGGTGGGAGATTTTTAGACGAGTCCCAACATAAATTTTTGAGGGCAAATAACAGGAACTGTTTCTGCACTGATTCGAGCCTGTCACTATGAATTTGATAGCTAGGATTCCATACTATAGATGCATACTCCAAAATCGGTCTAACTAGAGAGGTAAAGAGAACTTTAGTGACATAAGGATCGTTGAACTCCTTGGCCCAGCGCTTAAGAAAAGCCAACAATCCTCTAGCCCTAATCACGCAGGAGTTTATGTGAGACTTGAATTCTAGTTTCGGATCCATAGTTACACCTAGGTCAATGAAATTGGTCACTTGCTCAACATTGTGGTCAGATATCATATACGAATTTGGATAGAACGATTTTCTAGAGAAGGTCATGAATTTACACTTTTTCAAATTTAGTGACATGGAATTTGCTTCACACCATTCGAAAATGCAGGTTAGGTCAGCTTGCAAATGCTCCCTATCTTCTGCAGTACTAATGTACTTAAAGAGCTTAACATCATCAGCGTACATTAAGCATTTCGAGTAATTCAACACCTTAGGAAGGTCATTTATAAATAAAATAAACAAGACGGGACCAATATGGCTGCCCTGAGGTACGCCGGATGTGACATGTATTGGCCGGGAGGTACAATTTTTAAAAATTACTCTTTGTTTCCTATCCACTAAGTAAGAAGAAAGCCAGCTGAGAAGAATAGGAGGGAAGCCAATTCGATCAAGTTTATATATAAGGGTTGAATGAGATACCTTGTCAAATGCCTTGCTGAAATCAGTGTAAATCACGTCCGTTCGAAGATTGTTTTTAAACCCATTAGACACATAAGTAGTGAATTCAAGAAGATTGGATACAGTTGATTTACCTTTGCAAAAACCGTGTTGCGATAGATCAATAGCAGAAGTAATAGAGTGAGATAGTTCTTCCGTAACGATTGCCTCAAAAGCTTTAGCAATAGCACAAAGCTTCGCAATTCCTCTATAGTTTACGATGTTAGTCCTACTTCCATTTTTATAAAGTGGCAAGATAAACGAATCCTTCCAGGAAGATGGGAAGACACCCTGTTTTAGGGAAGCATTAAAAATATTTGCCAGAGGCTTATACAAATACTCTGCACAACTTTTAAGAACACTTGTGGGTATACCGTCTGGGCCAGCTGTATATGAAATATTCAAACAATTCAAATGAATGAGGACGTCCGCAGCAGATATCGATGGAATTCGGATACAATCAAATGATGGCAGATCGAATGGGTAGCTAGATAGATTCGAATTCAGTTGGGAAGATGTAGAACTGGCAGAGTAGTTTGACTCGAAGAAACCAGCAAACATATCGGCAATAATATTTTCGTCACTGGAAACTAAGTCATTTAACTTCAATGTTGAGGGATAACCGTTAGTCTTACGCTTTGTGTTCACAAATGCGTAAAACGATTTGGGATTAGAAACTATATTGAGTCGAACCCTGTTAATATAATTATTGTAACACTTTTTGTTCAATACATTGTATTTATGCCTAAGAATGGAGTACGCGGAGTAGTGAGAAGACAAGCCAGATTTTTTAAAAAGCTTAAATGCTTTGGATTTTTGATTTTTTAAGCGTTTCAATTCGCCAGTAAACCACTGAGCGTTAGACGTTACGTTAGCTTCCTTAACAAGAGGAATGATTTTACTGAAAATGTGGCGTAAGGAATTGCTAAAATGTAAGGCACTATCTTCAGCATTCCCATCATACTGGGGCCAAGTTATCTTCGATATCTCTAACCTAAGTTTATTATAATCTGCTGTTTTAAATGAGTAACGCTCCGCCCTTGATTTTTTACTGATAAAGCAACATGAGTTGCGTGAATTTATCAAGGACAATTCTAGTGGTGGGTGGTGAGAATCAACAGGGGTAATCAAAGCATAGCTAGGGGCTATTGTGACGTTGGAAACATCGTCCACAAAAACTAAATCCAGACATTTACCTAAGTTATTACTAACAGAGTTGATCTGGTAAAGACTAAGATCTGACAGATCGTTCAAAAATTGATTGAAGAGATCACGAGAGGAATTTGGTACTAGAATACCATCTATTAGATCCCAAGAAACACCCGCAAGATTGAAGTCACCCAGGACAATAACAGTATCGGAGGGCTTCACCATGGCATGTAGAGAGAGCAGTAAGGAGGAGTGTTTTAAATAAACAGAAAGGCTCGAGTTAGGTGGTATATAAGCAGCAACAAGATAAACGCTAATAGAATGATATCTTATTCGAACGCAGAGGAATTCAACTTCATCGGTGTCAGTGAACTCAATTTCTTCAGAAGAAAGGTCAGTCTGGACAGCGATTAAGACGCCTCCACCTTTTTTATTTAAACGGTCGTTTCGAAACACTTCATACTTAGGACACAAAATTTCCGAGTTGAACACATTCGGCTTGAGCCAGGTTTCAGTAAACACCAGTACTTTGAAGTCAAAATCATAGGACTGCAAGTGTAACCTTGATAGCTTTGTGTTCAAACCTCTCACATTTTGGTAGTAAATGCTAATGGTGAGGTTACTTATTAGTTTTTTGATGCCGAGGTGGAAAGCGGAAGTTGAGCCAAATTTTGCCCTTGCGGTCTAGATCTAAATTCAAATTCGCGAATGAAGGCACCGCTTGGCCAAAAAGATGGGCTCATTACTCTATCAAAGCAGTCTTCGGATATGTCTATTTTAAAAGAAGAAATGCTTCTTTCATACGAGAATCTGAACTTGCGTACATGCAACTCATTTGCTATCAGCCTGGAAGTTAAATACCCCTTCACATCATCGACAGTGGTATCTTTTGAAAACCTAGATATAAAGACCGATTTTTTGGAAGGGACAACGATTAAATCCCTCGGGACGGGGTTAACGCAATCGGAAACGGTTTCAGATGTGGTAGGGGGTTGCGGAACAGGGGGTTGCGGAACAGCTGTCAACTTTTTTGGAAGGAGCAACGATGGCTTCGGATGTGGTAGGGGGTTGAGATGTAGTTGTGGAGTTTTTGGAAGGAGCAACGACTACTTGCATTGGAACGGTGTTGACGCAATCGGAGATGGCTTCAGATGTGGTGGAGGGTTGAGATGAAGCTGTTGAACAGGAATTTAGTGAGGCTCCAGTAGAAGAAGGACGTGGTTGGGGAGATTCAGTCCGCCGAGGAATCGGTGTGTTAAAGCTTATGAGTTCTTTGTTCATAGCTGGAGTCAAAAGTGGGCGGTTCTGCGGAAGATCCAGGTCCACAGTGATGGGATTCAACACAATATTTTCCACGCCTCTCCTACGTCTCTTAAGACCTTTACCAGGAGAAGGAGAGGAGGAGGAAGTATCTAATAATTTAAATTCTTTGAATTCATCCTCATACTTCTTGAACTTCTCGTTGAGCAGTTTTAGCTCTTTGCTTATCTCCGAAAATCCATTTCTAGCGGTTCTAAATAGTTTACAGAGATCCACAACAGTTTTTTTACACTTTGGACATGACCAGCGAAGTCCATTGTCTCCAATAATCATATCCAGAACTCTCCCATTAATACCAGCACACTTTAAATGAGACAGTTCATCGCAAAGCCAGCACGCCACAAAACGGTCCGAACCGGCTTTTACATTACATTTTTCGAACAGACAGGACATTTTTAGCGAATTTTATTAAAAAAGAATAAAAATAGCGAAATTAGGAATGTATTGTACGAAAACGTTTCAAGCTCACAGTAATTGGCAGTTTAATAGCTAGTGGTCTTATTTAGTGAAGTTCAATGGTTAGAAACCGTGCTGAACTTAACAGTTTGAAAGCCACTGAGTTTACAAAATCAGCTGTCACCAAGAAAGCGACTGTCGATGATAAACAAAGGTGTGTGTAAAGCGCGAAAGAAAGCAAAATGAACAAACAAATGCGATATTCCTTACACACTCACGCAAAAGCAACAATAATGCACCAAAACAGGCAAATATGCACGAAGGCCGACTAAATAAAACTTTTCAATCAACGCACTTTATGACTAAATCAAGTCAATTTATTGGAATTTGGCTTCAGTAAACTTTTTACGGTGTGAATAACACAAATTAGAACTGCTTAGCACTTTGTAAACGAGTTAAACTTTGGAAATTCTTTCAAGCGAAAGTTTAAGTGACCGCACAGTACGAACGTTGATAGATAGATTCAGAAAGTAAAAACGTTATTTTAAATTTCATATTAGGAAAGTGGTTTCCGGTATTGATACTGGTATTTTTAGATCAGAATTTTTTAGAAATATTTCGGGTATGCAGTTTTGTAGCCCATTATAATAAAGTACAAGTTTCAATAAGCAAAAATTATGCGTTCAATATATCGCATGAACAAAAGCAATTTTTATATGGAAGAAAATGCTAATATTTCTAAAAAATTCTGATCTAAAAATACGAGTACCAATACCGGAAACCACTCAATCTCAATCTAATAGGTTTGTTTTAAAATTTTTTAAACATTTTATTTTCATACAAATTCATCAAAAAGTAACGATAAATAAAAACTTAACTTTAACGAATAGAAAAGTGAATTGTAAGTGGATGTGTTAAATGTAATGCAAATATGTATGCATATATTAACTAAAATAAAGTTTTCTTAAATGCTATTTTATAATTACACTGGGTGACAGTGTAAATTAACATGGATCGTAACATACACCCCCGACAAACGATAGCACATCATTTATAGTTTTTGTACAAAGTCTGAAAATTAGATTTAAATGGTATTTGTTAGATAAAGAGCTATACTTTTATAGAAAAATAATGAACCTTAAATAATCAAAAGAAAAGTAGTCAAAACGTGTAAAAATGGTGATGTGCTATATTTTGTCGCGGGGTGTAGGATCTACTCAAGTAATAAACAACTGTAACATGTGAAAAATACATATATGTATATATAGCATGTATAGTCATGTGAAAAATAATAGGGACAGGGCCTTTTGGAC